ATTATTATTATTATTATTATTACACACCTTCCTCAAAGAGCAAGTATATTTCCATGTGAATTCACACAACCCGTTGCAGCGCATCACGGGGACTCCGCTTCCAGCCACAGGGAACGCCGTCTCCGACGTGCTGGCAGCGTTCTCCAGGGCTCCGCTCACCCTGCTCACAAACCGTTTGACCTCTTGCCCTCTGGGAGGCGCTTTAGGACCGAGACCGGTAGACTCAGGAACAGCTTCTTCCCTGCAGTCGTCTCCTTACTGAACTGTGTACCACCACCACCACCTCACCCCTTCTCATCTCTCCTCCCGGGACCAATGCAGCACTCTTCTGTTACCTGTAACACTGGAGTGATCTGCTAATTCGGTCATACTCACAAGATACTGCTCTGTTATTCATTTGCACCCTGTTCATATGCTGATACTGTGTATTTACCTTTGTGTTATTTACATCCATTGAACTGTTCACTCATGTAGCTTATTATCTTCTTATTCTGCACCGTTTCATTCCATAAGCTTAATGTGCTTTATCCATTATTTGTAACTTAAACCCATAAAGTCTGTTGTATATTGTACATTACCCTACATATCTTACTGTCAATATCAATTGTACATATGTATCAGTAAATTGGTTCAGACTAAAGGCTTTATTCTATTATAAAGCCACGTCCGGTTCTTTCAAACCAGGAACTCAGAGGGACGACTCAGACCACTTGGATATATAAAAAATATAACCGTGCTGGTTTATTCAAAGGGTCACAGGCAAGAATTAACATTACACGTCCAGGCATCTTCCACCCCCAAAGCTGCTCGCAGGCAGCCCGGAAGAAGAAGCCCCGAACCTAATAGCCTATACAATTTAATCACTTCGTTGGGCTAGCCCCATCCTACACAGAAACGTCAACCGAGACGTCTCTCTCTCACCAGCTTTGCAGCTGGCTCTGGCAGTGGTCACAACATGAAGCAAATCAACGTGTGAATGTGTATGTCTGTTGGTTAAGTGGTGTGTAGCTAAAAACACTGTAACACAACAATTCACATTAAGAAAAATATTATGGTTACTTTTACCGTCATAATAACATTTATCCCTGACTGCAGCCTTTCTCTGCTTTAACTAACCTTGCATTTAACAGCCTGAGGAAGACATCCTGGCTACACTAACATCTTCTAATACAACAGATCTCTAATCCATATCTATCTAACTAAGAAAGTACCTAACAAGACCGTTCAGACTGTAGATACTCGCACTCTGCACAGCTGCTATTTCACTTCTGGTTAGATGCTAAATTTCATTGCCTTGTACTTGTACAGGGGTAACGACAGTAGAGCTGACTGTAATCTGATCTAATCTATAGTCTAGGTTACCGGTGGCGGCCACCTAAAATGGAGTCTAAACACCACTGCTGTAGTGAAGAAGGCTCAGCACTTCCTCAGGACAGCGAGGAAAACCCGCATTGCTGCCAGGATGCTGAAAGGCAGACGGGTCAGGCTGCTACAGCGAGGCCTGCAAAATGATCAGGGACGATACTCATCCTTTCCACCAGGTTTAAAGAATCTATAAAGCCCTGGACGCTGTCGATATGCAGTTCAGGGAACAATTTGCGCAGGAAGGAATGCAAATGTTGAGACCTCTGGAACAAGTTCTTTTAACTGGACGGATACATAGTGTTGCTGAGCAGTACCCGGACATTAACTTCCTCACAGTTCAGCTTTCCCCATGTTTAAAATGAAGCATAGCTTCCAGTCTAGCTCTGACATAGTTGCTATTCTTCAAGGTATGAGCCCAGAGGTCGGTGGTCTCTTTGACCGAGTTGAAACAGTTGCTCGTCTCCTCCTAGTTGTGCCCGTGTCATCAGCAGAGTCAGAAAGGAGTTTAGGCACTTTAGGTTCTTTTAACTGAACCGAGTGAAGGTTCAAATGTTCATATGTTCAGTGTTAATATGTCCAGGCCAGTTGGTTTTCATGCCACATTGGCAATATCCAATGTTTTTTGTGCAATTGTAACCAACTGTAAACGATGCTTTAAGCATTAAGCTTCATCAGTGTATTGTTTAAATAAAAATATTTTAAATCATATTACACAAAAGTTTGAATTTGTAGCTGACTTTCTTTTTCTTCAGAATAACTTAATACAGAGAATTTATTTCTTCAGCTTAAGAATCAGGAGTGTGCTGGAAAAAAAAGAGGTGGGTAGTAGATTGTAACAATATGAGTGAGCGGCATAAATGGCTCTTACAGTGTTGGTTGATCAGGGTTGGGCCTAAAATGTAGACGATGCGGTGTAAATTCAGAAACACTACGCTATAACTGCGCTGCGCCGATAATGATAGCAAGCAGAATATTGAATACCCTGGTTGGATTTGGTGCATAGACCCTATTTAGAGGTAGGTAAACTCCATATGTCGTAATCAAGGGAGGTGTGTAAAACACATTTAGTTGCGTTCAGCTTCAGTCTTGCTCAAGCACCCCCACCCCCCCACTCTTTAAAAAAAGCTTGATCTTAAAGGCTGAAAACCATTATAAAGCCTCATCCGGTTCTTTCAAACCAGGAACTCCGAGGGGCGACTCAGACCACTTGAGTATATAAAAAATATAACCGTGCTGGTTTATTCAAAAAATCACAGGCAAGAATCCACACTTCCAGTCCAGAGATCTTCCAAACCCCCAGCCTGCCAAAAGCAGCCCGGAAGCAGAAAAGCCCCCGAACCAAGCATTGCTATACAATATTAATCCTTTCTGGGCTGTCGAACCGTGACGTCACCCGATAAGCAAGCTTTGCAGCTGCTCTATCGTTTAGCCAAAACATGAGGAAAAGTCAAGGTGCGTGACTGTTGTTTTCGTGGTGTGTATCTAAAACAATTGGACATAACCTTACACATTAAGACAAATATTAAGACTAGCATTACAGTTGACACTAACAGCAGTTTTCCTGTAACCTTGACGTGCCTGCAGTCTGCACTGCAGGCTGAATAGTTAACAGCCTAAGCTAGTCACCCTGTCTGCACTAAACATTCATAGACAACAAATCTCTGAATATCTATCTAACTAAAAAATAACCTAACAATATGCTCCTGGGTGACCCCCAAAGCTTGATGAAAAGGAACTCATTTAAACTTTTAGAGAAATTGGTGGAGGAACATGCATTAAACAAAGGCTAGTGTAATGTTGGGGTAAGGACATTTTGTAGGACCAAATGAGGAAGACTATGAAAATGTACACCTTTTCAGACTGGAAATCTCTGACTGTTAATTGGTATCGCACAGTGCGATGTTACGTTTAAAAGCCAGGTTTCATTTTCAACTTATTTTTGATTTGGGAGAGTCAAAAGCAGCCACACTTGCAGAAACATCCTTTTCTAAAAGTTGAAGCAAAGCAACATTTATTTATATAGCACGTTTCTAAACCTATGTTACAAGGTGCTTTCCAGTAAAACATAAAATAATAAAAATACATAAAACCAGATAAAACACATCTACACAATAAAATAACAGCAAAAATGCATAATCAATACAAATACATCAATCAGTAAAATTGGGGAAGAGTCTGTTAGCCTGGCTTGTGTGTGAATGCATGTCAGTAGCGAGAAGAGGTGAGCAGCTCTGGATCCCAGTTGCTCTCCCAGCAAAAGACTAGAGCTTCCTGCTCCCATGAAACCAGGAGCCCCCTCACATTCACATTGTCAAGTCTGCAGTGTGTTCATTTGGCATGTCTGTAGCACCACGTGATAATTTTAAAGTAAATTGCATTTCATTATATCAAAACGGTAAGTGTTAACTTCTGCACAGTTGTGTAATACACAGGCCAAATGCTCTCTACCAACAGATATGTGGCTCTTAAAAGAGCCGTTGGTTGTTGTCTGCTGCTGGTCGAGCCTAAGCCCTCTCTCCGCGGATGCGGCGAGCCAGCTGGATGTCTTTGGGCATGATGGTGACCCTCTTGGCGTGGATAGCGCACAGATTGGTGTCCTCGAACAAGCCCACCAAATAGGCCTCGCTGGCCTCCTGCAGAGCCATGACGGCGGAGCTCTGGAAGCGCAGGTCGGTCTTGAAGTCCTGAGCGATCTCTCTGACCAGGCGCTGGAAGGGCAGCTTGCGGATCAGCAGCTCAGTGGACTTCTGGTAGCGACGAATCTCTCTCAAGGCCACGGTACCGGGACCAGTGGACTTACGCGCGGTCTGCTTGGTTCTGGCCATAGCTTATTCGTTATAGCTCGTGTGTCTAACAAACATTGCTAGCGCTGCAGCAAGTGTCCGCTTTTATTGCCAGCGCCGGGGCGACTGTAACTCTGATTGGTCCAACGGCTGCACGTGATTTACCCGATCGTCTATTGGACAGCGGCTTTTCAAAAGTCAAACTCGACTCAGGCAGAAACGTTTTCCTCCATCTTCAAAATTAGAACCACCACTGAACTCTTTCTTTCACGCTCTTAGAATTTCCAGTGTCCCAAAGTTGCAACACCAATATCTTTAGGAGCCCCTTCTCCTCCTTTGTGGACCATAGCCTGCAGTCGTTGGCTCCTGCACTTACTCACAGGACAATCTCTTGATTCCCAGAAACTTCTCTGCAGATTTAAAAATAGTATAGATTTTTGTCAGTCCTTCTATCAGTCTGTGCAGCACAGGTAATCACATCCTTCTTATCCAATATCAGGTTGCCCTGCTGTTTTTTTTTTTATTACACTTATTTTGTTTTTGTTCTCCACCTACTTACTGATTGGCACGTGGATGTCATTTACTTTAAAGATGAAAGATCAAACATTCTTTATTGTCAATTCACTATGTGTGTAGGACATACAAAAAAATCGAAATACTGTTTCTCTCTCACCTAATGTTGAATGCCCATACCATTTAAGAAACAACCCTCCAAACTGCTCCTGCATAAGTTACTCCTTGTGTAGCTTTGATATACTGCACCTTTTTGCTAGCTTTTGGTTTATTTATTTATTGATTATTTATTGGTCTGTTGGACCAATAAAGCTGATTCTGATTCTGATTCCACCTGCACAACCTCCATATGCTGAGCTGTACTCCCCTCCATAATTACAGCACTTTAAATTTGAATATTTTCACTGTTTTACCCCAGTTCTTTTATTGAACAGATCTGAATGAAGACGGAGTCCGACTTGTTTCATTTTAGTGCTGATTTATTTTGAAAGCCACAATAAAAAGTTACAGAAACACAAACCCAGGTGGCTCCTGCTCCAGACAACTGCTGGAAGAAAAAGGGACCCTGGAAACACAGAGCCTAATTAGACATTAAAGTCTAACACATTAAAGTCTAATAATTATCTGACTGATTTATTCATTTCTAACATTCACATTTATGAACACCTTTAGCCAGGCTTATGGGGCTACTCCCCCTCCTGACTCAGCTCCTTGCAACGTCCCTAACATTCACGTCTCTGTCACAATGGCCGAGTCAAATCAGGGGTCAAATGGTCCCATGCTGAGAGGCGTTCGCATGCTGTTACGCTGACGCACTGTAACAATCAGCCAATGACAGAAAGGAGACGGCACAGTTATATTTGCATCGAGTGTATACAAGAAGCGCAAGCACAGGCGTATGGTTATTCAACTTTTTGAGAGTCAGACTGAGAAAACGACAATGCCTGATCCAGCTAAGTCCGCACCCAAGAAGGGTTCTAAGAAAGCTGTGACTAAGACAGCGAGCAAGACTGGCAAGAAGAAGCGAAAGACCAGGAAGGAAAGCTATGCTATCTACGTCTACAAGGTGCTGAAGCAGGTCCACCCAGACACCGGAATATCCTCAAAAGCTATGAGCATCATGAACTCCTTCGTGAGTGACATCTTCGAGCGCATCGCTGGTGAAGCCTCACGCCTGGCTCACTACAACAAGCGTTCTACCATCACCTCCAGGGAGATCCAAACCGCTGTGCGTCTCCTGCTCCCTGGGGAGCTGGCTAAGCACGCTGTCTCTGAGGGCACCAAGGCTGTGACCAAGTACACCAGCTCTAAGTAAACTCTTGCCTCTTCAATATAAACCAACGGCTCTTTTAAGAGCCACACATGTTCCTCAAAGAGCAAATATTTCAATATTAATGTGAAGTTGTAATATAGTTTAATATAATTATGGTTCATTCTTTCAAAGATGCAAAGCTGCACATACACATTGCTAAGTCTGATTTGATTTGACTCCTGTAGTGAAACGTATAAGAATGAAGTGAACATATTTCAGTAAACATTTTAATGTTTATCTGCTGTCAAAGCTAAGCCTCTGACTAGTAGTTCTGAGTTTGCACCTCATTTATTCACACTTAACTTTGCTGTGAATTGCAATGTCAAAGGCTGTTGGTCAATATTAATGTGAAGTTGTTCAGTGAAGAAACATGTTTCGCTGTACAATGAAATTCTGACTTGGCCGTCAACATGAATGCCACAATACAAGTGAAATATAAAGTAGCCCTCTGATGCATAGTGGTCACTGCAGTGGACAGCTATTCAAAAGTCATTTTCTCCTAAATGCACTGGTTTCAATGGTGGAACTGCATATCAGCCACTAGAGTGCTCTCTACTGCACCACTCCATTGAGGTTTATTCAGTGGTCAATCATTGTAACTGCAAGTGAATTTCCTCTGAATCCAAGATGGCTGACAGTAAGCCACACTTGTTGACTGCTCCTGGAATATCCTGTCAGACCATCTATTCTAGAAGAACCCTAGAGGTAAAAAAAATATGATATATAGTAACATCTAAGTAACATCATTTTTTTGAAAAATTTGTTTCCAATAAGTAGTAAATTACAATTAACCATGTGTCCAATGAAGTGGTCATCATGCATCATCAAGTATATTTCTGACTCAAGTCATGTAATTGCTTCACTTTTTCTTGTGACTGTTTTGGTTGTAAATCAGTATATTTTTGCTGTATTTTATAGGGTATTCATTTAAAAATGAATAGTCTTGTGCAGATTAGTTGTAGTTTGTGTGAGTAACACTTACCATTTTGTCATATTTTGTAGACTGCAAGTGCAGCAAAGAATAGGGAAACCTATAGAATAGTCCAGGAAATTCCCTCCGACTCCAGTGATGATGATTGTAGTGACAGTGATGAAGAGTGGCTGCCAGAGGACAATAGAGACATAGGACCTGAGGATGACGAAGGAAATGCAGTCACTCAGGATTCAGACAGTCAGCATGCAGATAGGCAGGATGATGAGGGCCAGGATGCAGAGGGGGGTCAGCTTGATGAGGGAGCTGTGAAAGATGTGCACATGGTACCTGGCCGCACTCAAGCCCACAAAAATGTCTGGAAATTCCAAGACAATGACTTTGATGGAGACTTGCCTTCTTTTCTAGGAGACTGGAAATTAAATGTTGAGGGAAGAGATCCAGTAGATTTCTTTAGGCATCTGTTTCCCGCAGATCTCATTGATGATATAGTGCACAACACCAACTTGTATGCTCTCCAGAAAGGGAGAGAAAATCTGGCTGTGACAAGAGAAGAAATGCAGATTTTTTTAGGGATCAACATGGTCATGGGGTACATTCGGTACCCTAGGGCACGAATGTACTGGTCTAGTGAGGATGGCCTTCATCTCAGATTAATTGCAAACGCCATGTCTGTGAACAGATATGATCAAATTCTGGGTTACCTGCACTTTGTGGATAACTATACTTGCCAACCAGCAAACACAGATAGGCTCTTCAAAGTAAGACCAGTGCTGTGTGCACTTCAGGAAACATTCAAGGCAGCAGCAGACCCTGAAGAATTTCAGTCCATTGATGAGCAAATCATTCCCTTCAAAGGCCTTCTCTCCATCAAACAATACATACCAAAAAAAGCCCAAACCCTGGGGAATGAAAGTATGGGTGAGGGCAGGGACCTCAGGCTATATGTACAGATTTGAAGTGTACCAGGGCTCTGCAAGACGTGATTGCGTCAGTTGGTTGGGAATGGCTGGAGATTTTTTGAGTAGAGGTTTAATTACTGCAACTTTAAAAGCCTGTGGAACATAACCTGTTAATAGAGAGAGCTTAATCAGATCTACTATGGATGTGTTGATTTGGGGAAAGACGTCTTGATGAGCAAATCATTCCCTTCAAAGGCCTTCTCTCCATCAAACAATGCATACCAAAAAAAGCCCAAACCCTGGGGAATGAAAGTATGGGTGAGGGCAGGGACCTCAGGCTATATGTACAGATTTGAAGTGTACCAGGGCTCTGCAAGACGTGAACGCGTCAGTTGGTTGGGAATGGCTGGAGATGTAGTGATGCGCCTTTGTGATGACATAAAGCACAAAAACCACAAGGTCTTTTTTGACAACTACTTTTGCAGCATTCCACTCATTGAGGCCTTGAAGGACTGTGGCATCTATGGCGCAGGTACATGCAGAGCAAATAGGCTGAAGGGAGCAAATCAGAAACTCAAGAGTGAATGGCAACTGAAAGAAGAGGGCAGAGGGGCTTGCTCTGTTGTCAGTGATAATGCAAACATCACTGTCACACATTGGCTCAACAGTTTAGCCATCCACATGGCCTCGTCCTGTCCTGGCCAGTCCCCTGCAAATGTGGCCAAGAAGGAAAAAAACGATGCTCAGCGTCCAAAGACCCTTTTCTGTGGCCCTTTACAATCAACACATGGGTGGGGTTGATCTCGTTGACCAGTGTGTGGCAATGTATCCCCACAGATGTAGGAAGAAGCGGTGGTACATCCGAGTGTTTTTTCATTTTTTGAATGTGACCGTGGTAAATGCCTCTACCTGATGTCTGGATTGGAAAAGATGAATCTCCTCCTCTTCAAAGCTTCTGTAGCTCATGCACTGATAAATGCTGGCTCCCTCCAGCAAAGCAGAAGAGGAAGACCCAGTGCAACCCCACCTCCAGTGAAGCGCAAAGCAGTCACTAAAGTACCCCGTGAGGTCAGGTTTGGCACAGGAAATCACTGGCCCCAACTCACCGAGGTGAAAAATGCAAACTGATGCCACGATGCTGCATGCACTCGAAAGACCAAATACATCTGCATGCAATGTTGTGTGCCACTGTGCCCTGGATGCTTTGTCAACTTTCATACAGCCTGTGTTTGATGAACTGACATGCAGAGCATATTACAGAA